TGCGCCGATACCTACCCTCCCATCTTCTACATGAACGACGTGTCGAGGGCCGCCATTCGTGCCGTCGAAGCCATCAACGAGGCCGCCGGCAAGACCGTCGCCGCCTACACCTTTGACGCCGGCCCGAACGCTGTCATCTATTACCTGGCGGAGAACGAGGAGGCCGTCGTTGGTACCTTTGCGCCCCTGCTGAGCAGTGTTGGTGGCTTCAAGGAGAGCGCCCAGGGCCTCAAGTCTTCCGTCACCCTGGACGAGACCATTGCCGGCATCATCAAGGGAGGCGTCAGCCGCGTCATCCAGACCAGCGTCGGCGAGGGTCCCGTCAAGTCGGACGAGTACCTGGTCGGCGAGGATGGCCAGCCCGCCAAGAGGTAAAGGGGAAACATGAATCGCATAGAGCCCAGTCCATTTTCAATCAGCAGAAAAACTGCTTCTTAAACATTTCTCACTTCAATCTGGGGGGCGAAGGAGCACGAATGATGGCCGTAAACCACATGGGATGCTGGCACGTGATTGGCCGGGTGAATCACTGTCGCACCTGCCTGTCGTGTTTGAAGCTCAACTTCTTCTGGCACCTGCCCGCTCAACGTCAATTGTCTCGTCGCCGACCATTGTCTGCTGGAGCAGGGCAAGAGTGCCAGCCAATTCACTTCCAACTGTCAAGGCTAAATCGTCCATTGATTTTCTATTCTATTCTCGTCCAACGATGCATCGTCTTCCATAAAAGGTTGCCCGTTTCCTTTCCTCCCTCACCTCTCTTCAACCCTGCCCTTCGCAACCCCGCCACGGCATTTCAACTCTCGATCCCACCATCGGCGCGACCCTTCTGAAGCGACTGTCTTTTGTGCCCCAGATTTCATCGGCGTCATCACTCACTGTCCTCTGGTTGCTTCGACCTGGACCGACCATCAAGTCATGGATTCTAAAGCGCCGCGTCGGGACTCCAACGATGCCCGGGCTGCTGCTACCTCGCCTGCTGCCACCTCGCCTGTCGCTGGCTCGCCGACGTCCGACCCTGGCAAGCCCAAGTTGATTACGGATTACCACACCTCTGAGCAGGATGTCATCATCGAGGAGCGCGACAAGTCCGACAAGCAAGTCATCCGCCGCTGGCTCCATCGCGCCGACAGTTCCATCTACGAGGCATGTCCCCCACTCCAACGTCGGATGAAAGCACCGTCTGACAATTCCAGCTGCCCATCGATGCCAACTCGTCCCTCGGCTTCTCATTCCGCAACCTTCGCCAGATGGCCATCGATGCGTTCTTGCCGATCGGCTTCCCTCACTCCGTCTCTCCCGACTACCTCGAGTACCAATTGTACGACTCTCTCCAGGCCTTCTTCTCGACCATCACATCTCTCCTCGCGAACCGTGCCATCCTCCAAGGACTCGGAGTCGGCGATGCGTCCACCACGGCCACATATGCCCTGCTTTTGACCATCCTTCAGGATGCCATCTCCCGCGTTGCGACAATCGTGTTCGCCTACCGCTTCGGCCTCGCCATTGAGCCAGACGCCAAGCGATTCCGGTATCTTGCTGATGTCTTCAACGACACTGCCTTCTTCCTTGATCTCGCGAGCCCATATCTGAACACATGGAGCAAGATTCTCGCCTTGACAGCCGCTGCTGCCCTCCGTGCCCTCTGTGGCGTCGCCGCTGGCGCAAGCAAGGCCGCTTTGTCCAGCCACTTCGCCCGCAGCAACAATCTCGCCGAGCTCAATGCCAAAGAAGCCAGTCAAGAAACGGCCGTCGGCCTTTGCGGTCTCTTCTTCGGCAGCATCCTCGTCAACTTTGTTGAGCGTCGCGAGACCGTCTTCTCTCTCATGATCTTCCTGGTGTTCGTCCACCTCTACATGAACTATCGCGGCGTCCGCTGCGTCCAGCTCAACACCCTGAACCAGCAACGTGCGACTCTCGTCATGCAACACTACTTCGCCACCGGTGGAGAGATTCCAAGCCCATCGCAAGTTGCCGAGCAGGAATCCATCGTGTTCTGGACGCCCAAGGTCATCTCCAAGCACGGCCATGTGGGCGCTTACCTGGCAATGGCAAAGAGCTATGCCGATATGGCGAGCACCTGGAACGAGCGGTGCGGCTACATCATCTCCTGGAAGGGCAAGGCTGGACAGATTCCACAGGGGAAGATCATTCTGACCAAGCTGGATCAGGGCATCAAGGCCCGCGCCGCCATCAAGGCGTGGTACGAAGGTGTTGCCACTGGCTGGGAGGGACGACAGTTGGATTGGAACTCTGAGAAGCTGGCCGAGAGGGAGGTGTTCATCCGCCGCGCGCAGAAGGCTGGCTGGAACGTCGACGAGAACTGCCTCGAGACAGGGATCCCGTTCCGTGTCTCCGTTCGATCGACGGTGAACGGCAGGGAAGACAAGAAGGAGCAGTGAGCGGGCTAGGACGCTATATGCGAGCATCAGGCAAGAATGAAGCATCAGGTAGCCAGCTTTTGTGGGAGTAGATAGTCAATCATTTGGCCAAGTCCTTCTTTGCAACAGGATCGAGGAGAGTCGGCGTCACGCAACGCCGGTCGGCTGACTGCAACCCCGAGAAATACGAGGGGCCACCAGCCCCTGATATACCTGGGTCTCCACGCGGTGACCTTGCTCCAGCATGTTTAATGTTTATTACTTAGTTGACGGAAGATGGAGCACCGCGTGAGCTTGGCCGCCGTCAGAGTGATGGGGATCCGGTTGTACGGCTCCACCAGCTGACGACGATTGTCTTGGTATCGGATAATATCAGGGGCCTCCGAGACCAATGCCTGACATCTTGGCCACTTGGCCCTGGGCAACTGCCGCTTCAGAGGGGCTACAGGCGCCTGTGCCAAGTTGTGGGTGCCGATCCCACCCCAGAGTGGTCCCGTCCCTGTTAATCAAGGACACCCTACGGTCCATTCTTCCAGCCTGCTCAGGTGCCGGTCGTCCAGTGACCCATCTGGCGTGGGTTCCGGACCTCGGAAGCTGCTCCTGTCAACATCTTCGGCGGCACCTTATTCACGACCTGATTGCTTTCTTTCCTTCGGCAATCCTGATTCTTGAATTGTATCGACGACCATTGCATGTCCGGCTCATGAACGGAAAACATCGGTGAACCTCGACATCGGCGAGCCACTACGGCCATCCCACGGTTCCGCCGGCACTCCTCAATCCCAGGGCAGCTGGCCTGCTAGACACGCCTCTGCCTCGTACAACACAACTGCACAACCATGGTCAAGGACCTCGAAAGGGCAGACCTTGACGGATCTGTCGCAACCCAGAGTAGCGATGCCGGTCGCATCGGCAAGAAGCTCTTCATTTTTACAAAGTCACGATTCTCGAGAATACTGCGTCTGCTGTTCAACGTAACCCTCGCTCTTGCCTTGCTGGTCTTGGTCTTCAACTATACACCAAGCCATACGAGAGAAATCCCAAGGACAGACCACAATGGGTTCTTGAGCTGGATTCCGTTCTTTGGACCGCCCGCTGGGCCGTTCAACGCCAGTGCCTTCGGTCCATCACGTATGGTTGTGTTTGGAACACCCGATGTGTGGACACCGAGCTCGAGCAATGGTCTTCCAAGGCCGGGATGGACAGAAGCGCTGTGCGCGGAGGTTAGAATCCATTTGATTACTGTTGCTGTCCATAGACGATGTGCTGACGTTTGTGCTAGCTTGGATGCTCGTCTCATCAGTCCATGATCCCTCCCGTCGACTTACCAACACAAGCGTTCGCATCAAAGTCGATTTACGCAGACGCATTGCGCAATGTGACAGAGAATGGCTCGAAAGAAAGCTCAGGTCTCAACTATGACTTTCTAGCTAAGCAGTATCCCGTCGGCGACGTCCCAGATCTTGCAGCGCAGGTCGCAAAGTTTTTGGACCTGCCAAAACCAGTTCCACCGCCTCGAGAAACGACTTGGGTGTTCACCTTTGGCACCTGGGATGCTTGGGCTCTTGCTGCTCTCCCACTACAGCAAGGGAACATTACAGTCCGAGCCATCGCTGCGTCCATTTTTGAGCAAATCGAAGTGCTCTACGAAGCATCAATGGACCCCGTGTCGCCTGCCCACTCCGATTATTACATCTACACGACCGAAACCTCATCCATTCTACGATCTTTCAGCAAGAACCCGGCTGCTCGACCAATCGAGACCTTTCGCGTCATCATTCCCAGGCTTTTCGACATTTCTTTGACGCCAGGGTGGCATACCCTCCGACAGCAGCCCCCAGCGCCTCACAGCATGTCCGAGCATCTCCAAGCAGCTGCCATCCTTACGAGAGTATGGGATGAGGAGATTAAAAGCCGGCTCGCTGCCTGGAAGAATCTTCCTGTCGCGACAAAGATCCGCGAAGACCAACCCATGCAGAACGGACGTCCATATTACGGCTTCTGGAACCCATCGACCAAGAAGCCGAGCCAAGGTGGCAGCAGACATGATGTCCTCTACGCGCCGTATCCCAGCCGGACTGGAGTGCAGGTCGACCTCGGCGATTTCGCCACAAGAGCCATCATCGAGAACCAGCTGCGGGCGTACAAGCTGCCGGACAGCGATGGCCGCGGAACCGTCGATGAGGCGGACGCGTTGTACTTTGAGGTTGTGGACGAGCCGTGCGTCTGGCACGAGAAGACTTCCCTTGCTTCTCGGAGAACAGCAACATGCGAGGATCCCGAGAGCCATTTGTTCTACGGACCCTTCACGGTGGACGAGAAGGCCATTCGGGAAACTGCTAGAAGAGTGACGGAAGGAGTGATAGACGCCCTGTACCGGGGGAGGTGAGGACAGCACAGAATATGAGCAAGGAATGGATCCATGTCGAAGCCCACCTCTACGGATACACTCCTGTCGATCCAGTCTCCATGTTGACGCAAGAAATGAAGAGTCGTGGGGCCAGGACGTGGACCGACGTCGGACCCTCCCCTGACCCACCCCCTATCCACCACGATGCTCTCCGAGCCCACCATGCGGGTTAGCCCTGACGAGCCCATCGATTGAGCCGGAATCCTCAATAATCCCTGGTGGCCCAGCTGGTTAAGGCGTCCGACTGTTACCGTTCAACGAGCAACACATCGGGAGATCGACAGTTCGATCCTGTCTCGGGGAGCATCAGCTCATTTCACTTTGTCCCTGGTGGCCCAGCTGGTTAAGGCGTCCGACTGTTATCACGTCCAAACGTGGGAAGCACATCGGGAGATCGACAGTTCGATCCTGTCTCGGGGAGTGGAGAGGTTGATATCTTTTGCCAACATGGCAGAAGAGTTTTTTTTTTTTGGTGTATTCTTCCTCTCGGCTCAGCCAAGAGAATGTTGGTGTAGCTAGTGGCAGCTAGGTAGGCATAGATTTCACATGTCCGCTACCACTTCAGTTTGCTTAAAAGGCAGGCCTTCCTACCTAGCAGCGAACCATGTGGGGGAAGCCGCCGCTGTAGCAGGTCCTGGTTCCGCTGATGCAAGGGCCGCAGTTCTGACGAGTCTCGAGTTTGGCGCCCTTGGGCTGGGGAGCAGGGGCCGCGGCGGCGAACGCGGCGAAGAGGCCGAAGACGACGATGGTGAACTTCATTTTCTGCTTGACTTCAGCAGGGAGAGGAGATAGAGAGTGTCTTAACATACGAATAAGGTTGGTAAAGGCACGATAGAGAGGTTGGGATTCGCGTTGTGCTGGTCGGAGGTTGGGAGTTGTTGTGTAGAGGGAAGGTCTGAAGTTGAGACGAGAGACTCGTTGTCTTTTATACACGAGCAGAGGCTATGTATTCAGTATTTGCCTCTCTCTCTCTCTCTCTCTCCTTCTCCCTGGGCCGTCTCGTCATCAGTTACCTTCATGTTGTCTTTCGATGTTATCACACCGGTCATGGACCAGTGGGATTCTCAAAGCTCCACCCCGCATGATCATACATATAGTGCCCAGAATCGTGGTGCATGCAGTCTGGAGTACTTTACACAGCGCCGAGAAGCCCATCTCCGCACCTTTCGGGGAAATCTGTCGCCCGGCGAAGCAACGAAATTGTACAACACGAGGGAAGCGACCGGATCCTCGTATAAGAGTTGCCTTATCAGGATGGCCAAGTGTACGTTGCCCAGATGGTCCAAACTTCACCCAACGGCACAGCAATTATCCGCCTCTGGGCAAGGACTATGATGGAGTCTAGATGCTGACACAGAGTTGACACGGAGCCTCCGGTTAATTTGTTGGGCAACAACGTTCGTCACGTTTCGCTGGATATAGGAGCACGACAGAGTGATGAAGTCGGCGCCTTTCCGCCTCTTGCAACCCACGCGACTGGAGTCAGCCTACACACTGTACAAACTACATCCCTCCCAATTTGACTTGCAGCCATAAACATTGTCGCTTTGGGCATGACGTCCATCCGACTCCAGATCGGTTCATGCATCTACCGTCCCCCTCCAGGATCTTAGGCTGCCCTCCCGTTTGCGGATCTAGGCGCATATCATCAGGCTCGGCACGCGCCGCCCGAGTTGACTGCAGACTTGGAGGCCACGTATCTCCGGGTAAATACTTGTTCAGGTGACATTCGGCTTACATCAAAAACCGTGTATCCAAATGGGATGTTGTAGAAGCGTAGGAAAGCCACCAGCCGTGGCACAAGGTTCTTCGACATCATCTCCTCTTCACTTGCCGAGTACCTGAATAGACGACGAAGACCAACCGCTGCATGACGAGGACACCCTTGCTTGATCAACGAAAAAAGGCAGCCACATCGGGCGTGTAAGGCCGGCTATGAGAGACCTGACATCAAGGATCGAGGCACATCCATTCGCACGCCCAACACAACCGCCATTGGCTGCTTCAACCGCCCGGTTTCGCATTCCTTCACCCATCCATCCACATGCCCCCCCTCCTTCCCGGGGGTGAATACCATGCCAAAAGACAAAAAGATTGATGACGTGGGCGCCATCCGGGGATTGAACCCGGGACCTCTCGCAAGCTGAGCTTCAGGGTGTTACCCTAAGCGAGAATCATACCACTAGACCAACGGCGCGCTGTAAGACATCCCCGATTGTGATCAGGGGCCGGTCGATGGAATCCAGGCGAAAAATGTGTCATTAAGTAGGGTTTTGTTGGGTGAGAGTGTGGGGTTTGTAGTGAGAGTGCCCTGAGCCCGGCGGGGCGGTCGAACGTTGATGGAGATCGGCTGGGGACGTTGATGCAGGGATTTCTTTCCATGGAGACCCAAATGGGGCGAGAGTATGGGTCGGAAGCATCGTTTAATGGAGGTGGCAGAGACTGACGATGCCAAATGTCAAGACCTTGGCCCTAGCAGAGCACGATATCCTCCGTCTCATACCTGTCATCCGCCAAGGCCTCGCCCTGCATCACCCCGGAAATATAGGCATCGCCTATCAGGACCCACGCTCCTTCCTGAACCTCACTCTTCCGCAGGATGAATGGAACTTCGGCACCTGTGATGACACAGACCACGTCGCCCTTTCGCGCGTCCTTCCTCACCTGCCCCAGTCTTCCGCCGGTGGTTCGGCAGAACTTGCGAGTAACTCCCTGTGCTCCGATGGAATGCTCAACAATCGGACCGTCTGTGAGCATCCTTTCGCGGAAAGATTCTGTCATCACCCACCCAGGCGTGAAGTAGGCTTCCAGATATGTGACAAAGTCCTTCACGGCCGAGATGGCCTCGGGGGGCGCGGCGTCGCGCATCAAAGTCATTGCGCATATGAGGGTGTTGGCGAACTCTTCGGACCAGGGGTTGACGGTGACGTTCACTTGTGAGGCTGTTGTGCCGTCGTCCTTGCTGATTTGAACCGCTTCGGTGATGACGGACGATGACCCAAAGGCGACTCGTTGGCATTCCCGCAACCAGTTGAGGATGTACCGCTTGAGCAGGGCGGGGTATCCCGTCTTTGGAAGGATGTCGTTCTCCGTTGGCATGGGCGCATCGGGAAGGCATTGCGCCATCTCGTCGACCGTATCGATGATGCGGCCCCGGAGGTGAAGAAGCTTGCGGCCATCGCTCTCGGAAATGCGCACGGGAACTTCGGGGACTTGATCGCCGGCGTGGTAGAGCTGAGGACGGATCGTGTATGAGACGAGCGGTGGGAAAGAAACGCTTGCCTCGCAGCTGAAGTCTGGGACCCATGACGGCAGACCGTCAATGCGCTTGGGTACGATGTCGCCTGCTCCAAACGCCATATGAGGCGCGAGAGCCAGCAGGCGGAGATTCTGGTCGCCCACGAGCACGGCTTCAGAAACCTGGCAGAAAACCTCAGGGGCGGTTAGATTGTAGTCTGGCATGATGCCGCTGGTGTGGGCACAGGATCCGAGCAGTCCGTAGACGTGGTCGCGCGGGTCGGTGGCCTTGAAGCTCGTCGCGGCCATGATGGCGTCGACAATGTTGGATGCCTTTTGGTAGTGTTGAAGCAAGGATATCATAGAGGCACATTGAAACATGATGACAGGACGATTGTTTTCTTGCATGAAATGGAACATGCTTGGTGCTTTCGCATTGACTGTACGCGGTGTAAGCAGGGCAGCCCGGGTGACTGATGCGGGTGGAGAGGGCAGGCACTTACGAACCGAGGTTCCAGACAGTGAAAGGCCGAATCCGTGCGATGCGATGCGGTAGCAGACATCTGCGAGGACATTCCAGTCAAACTTGAGATCGCCACATAACACGAGCCTCTCAACATGCTCCGGCGCCAGGATAGCTTCTTGGATGATCCACGTCCTGTCGAACCATGCGCGGCATAGAATGCTGGCAAATGGCTGCCAGTTGTGATCGTTGAAGTTGGGCTTCTTCGCCCGTCGCAGCTCCTAATTCGAGCAAGGTCAGCGTCTGGCTGGATTTGAAAGAAGGCGACTCACCGAGGCCTCGAAGTACGCCGTCTTCGCCGCGGCGAGCAGTTGGCTACCGTCCTGGGACGACGGCGGGAGCAGTTCCTGGGCGCCGGCAAGGCACTCCTTTAGGCCATCCAGGCCAGTCTTGTCTTCACCCAGCCAGATCAGAACGCGGCTTGGCTGGGAGTAGATGCGGCCCATGAGTTTGACCTGTTCCGTCTTCTCATCCGTGTCGGTTTGATTGATGCAGACTGCGTCGGCCCAGACGATCCTCGTCTCGTCTAGTCTCCTCAGCCGCTGGAGGGCCGTGAAGAGGCTGTAGGTGATGTTGATCGGGACCCCGTGGCAATGCACGACGCGGGTGTCCTTTGCATCGCCCCAGCAGTAGGAGATGGCCTCGTAGGCCGGGTTGTCGTCGAGGTGCGCATTTGAAAGGGTGAAGTGTATGTCGCCTGTGCCGGGCTCGAGATGCAGCAGGCGAAATTGGCCTGGGATGGTGAGACTGTCGTACGTGTATGACTTGGGGGAGGTCATGGTGGGAATGCTTGAGGCTCGGTCTGTATGAGAGGGAGAAGATGTAAGGATGGTTGACGGCGGAATCATCGAAGAAATGGGGGGCGGTTGTCCCTTGAGCTTGTCTCGATGTGGTCACGGTGGTTAGCGGTTCAGCCGTCCACGACTTGCAGGCGTCAGCTGAACCACCCCTGCCAAGCGTCGTCGGGATCGGGCCGCCGTGGACGTTCTTTCGACACCGAGGAGCTTGGAAGTATCAGCTGCCAACTGTGTTATCACACCTAGGCCAGAGGCTGTCAGCGGGTGGGAGCACGGTGTTGAAGGATCCGACCAGCGGTCGCTCACTTTTTGCCCTGTTGAGTCTTCCCCGCGATGCGGACAGCCTGGCCAGCAGCACGGTCGGCGTTTGCCTTGGGCCAGCTCATCCACGGCGCGACCGACGCGACGATCGCGTGTCTTCTGCTGTTTGGCAGCATCAATCCAGCAGATGAACTCATTGCGAGCCAGGGGAGTGATGTCGAGCCACGCTGCCTGTGCTGTTTCGTCACCTCGGATTGCGAGATTGAGGTCGTCGGGCAGGTCGTGGCAAACCCCGCCTGGGAGGGTCACAGTGTTTGTTGACATCGCGATGACGGTGCTTCGATGAGATAGTTTGAAGAAGCTGGAGTGTCAAACCGTACGCATTTTGAGTGTCTTGATTATGGATTGACTTCTGGGGTTTGGGTTGAGAGTGACGAGCTGCTGTGGTGACTGCCGGGTGTGTGAGGAATCAGGTGCCTCGACCAG